TTTTTTAGGTTAACAAATCTATCGACACCAACAACACCAGCAGTATCTGCTGGACTTAATCAAGAGCCTGTCTATCGGTTATCACAGAAGATGTCAACTGATTCATCAAAATTAAAAGTTATTTCACCACGAAAGTAACAAATTTTGTTTGGTTGTTATTGTTGTTGTCAAATATTATAATGTCATTTTTAAATGTCATTCCGAATCAAAAAAATTCTTAGTAATGAAATGAAGTTTAGTTGATTGGTTGGCATTACATATTTCTCAAATTTTTTTTGTCTTTTTTTTTGGCTTTTGATTTATTGTTTTTTCCTTTATCTTTGTTAATTTTAATGGAGAGGAGGGGTTGAAGAAAAACAACAAGAGTAAGTTGAAAATTTACTGGTTTATAAGAGCACAAAAGTTAATCTGACTGTACAGCATTTTCTGTTTAGTGAACGAAACGCAGCAGTGGATGATGGTGGAAACAGTAGAAAACGTGCGGTTTGTGGAAAACTTTCTGATAATTTTCGATTGCTGGAAAAAAATATTAAAAATATTGAAAATGTTAGTGGTAAAGATTATAAATAAATTATTGCTATTATTATAAGCATTATTAGTTGACCTTAAATTGTGTTTTTAGTTTTCTGCAGTTTTTTTATTTTTGAAATAACGGTATTTCATTGGAGCAGCAAAACGAAAACTTTTATTGTAATCAATAGATTGAACAAAATCAATAATCAATTCTTCTTCGTCTTCGTCTTCGTCTTCTTCTTGTTCTTCTTCTTCTTCTTCCTTCAGCTGCTATTATGTATAAACTTTTTTAATGTATTTTTTTTTCGTTTTGTAAAAATGTAATAAAAGTTCAGAAGAGCAGCAGCGGAAGAAGATGAAGAAGGAGCAAAAGAGAGGGGGAAAAAAAGAAAAAAAAAGTGGTAAAGTAATTAAGTGAATCAAAAAGCGTTAAAAATTCAAAGTAAAAAAAATACAGAAATGTAAAATGCATTTTTTTTTTTTGTTTTCTATGTTAACACAACTTTTTTTTTCTTATATATTTAATTAGATTATGTGTTTAACCTTTCCAGTTTTTTTCCACCATTTTACAATTAATTAAAAAATGGAGGTTTTCCTCCTTTTTTCTCCATTTTTTTTTTTGAACCTCATCAAAATTAATTCTTGTTGTTTTTAGTTGAAAAATAAATGATGACAAATTATTCCATTGTTACATTTTAGTTTTTTTTTTTTTTTGCTCAAAAGGATACTAAATTAATAGAGTTGATTAATAATATTATAGTGTACAGCACCACAAGCCTGGCGACAACCACATATTCTAAAGAAAAATCTTTCGACCATTAAAGATTCCACCGAAACAGTTGTTACGGCACTTGGCGATTTTTTGGATGCAGTCAGTCGTATAGCCATTGATCCATCAAATTCAAAAATTGAAGGTATGTTAAGTGA